TTATTTATCCAGGAGTGCCGAGTTAAAATCTTGAGCACCCTCAAAAAGAGGTTAAAATCGCAATTGGATTTTAGTGTTTTTTTTGCGCTGTGTGGAATATTTTATTATTTTAATAAAGATCCGAGCTCATTTCTGATGTAGGCAGGTGAGTGTGGGAAGGAGTTTGAGGGGCGTCAACAGGATTTTGTTTGGCAACAACACATCGCTTTGTGGACGTCTTTTTGGATTTTGTTAGTGGCTGGTTTGGCATAAACCAGTATGTGAATGGCTCAGAATGGATACGCAGGACAATATGGATTACGATGGATGGACAACAGTAAAAGGGAGAGGTAGAGGAGGTGGTAGAGGTAAGATGAATGAAGGAAGAGCGTTTGACAATCAGAAAAATAAATGAGAATTAGATGGAAGTAGCTCTGAAGAAGAGAGAGTTGTCAGACGTAAGGTAGATGGGGGAATATAAAATAATATTGAAGTTAAGGAATGAGGAAGAACAGAGCACCATAAGTCCATTCTGTCAAAAAAAATAAAAAAATCAGATTGGAGAGGTAGAAATGGTGAAAGTGTTGACAGATGGAAATTTAATGGTGATTTGCAAAATTGAAGAACAGAAAAGAAAGACACTACATGTTGAAAGCATTTGCAAAAAAACGGTGGTGGAAAGAAAAGTTACAGGTGAAAACAAAATAATTCGAGGTGTGATTAATGGCATTCCATTAAATGAGGATCTGGATAAAATAAAACTAAACATTGTTGGTGCTCAGGTGAAAAACATAAAAAGATTAACAAAAAATGTAAATGGAGAACGAGTTGGAAGTATGTCAGTACTGATTGAGTTTTCTGAGAATATTCTGCTGCAAAGAATCAAAGTGGGTTTCCTGAGTTTCCCAGTGAGGCCTTTCATCCCAGCACCACTCCGTTGTTTCAGATGTCAGAGGTATGGACATATAGCTGCTGTGTGTAAAGGAAAGCAAAGGTGTTCACAGTGTGGAGGAGACCATAGAATTGAAGAGTGTAAGGATGATGTACAGGAAAAGTGCTGTAACTGTGGTGGGCAACACAGGGTCACATATATGGGGGTTGTGAGGTAAAGAAGAAGGCAAAGGACATCCAGCAGATAAAAATGACTAGAAACATAAGTTCTGCTGAGGCAGTCAGGAGTGTTCAAGGACAAAGGACAAAAGATACAGGTGGAAGGGAAAGAACAAAATCAACAGCAAAATGACAGAGATTCAGAGGAAAACATTACTGTAGCTGTGGAAAAACTAATATTATTTATAGCACATGTTATTAATTGCACAGATTAAGCCAAACATAAAACAGAAAAGATTAAAATAATAGTAAGAGGAGCTGAAAAGTTTCTGGGGTTTAAAGAAGGATCTTGGGAAGACATAAATAAAAGGTTGTAATCAGATGGGAAACCAGGAACCCCAGCTGATAAAAACATATGATAATAATCCAGTGGAATGCAAGAAGCCTAACTGCAAATGAACAGGAATTTAAAGGATACATAGACGGACTCAAAGAAAAAACAGACATTATATGCATACAGGAAACATGGTTAAAACCGAACCTAGATTTTATTATAAAAGGGTATGATGGTATAAG